GAGAGCTTCTTTGCCGTGTGTTTGGAGTCGGATACTTTTGTACAGCGATTATTTTTGATTCATCTGTCTCGATCCTTTTTGCGATATTTTGTAACCTAAATATTTTAATTCAGGGGCTGCAAATTTGCACTTTTCGACATTAACTTTTAGACCGGCCTCATTTAATAAAGAAAACACCTGTCTTAAATCCTGTACATGTTGGTCGAGATTATCACTAGTAATAATGATATCGTCTAAATAGATAAATGTGGACTTTCCAAGAACAGGTCTTAACACAATGTCCATGCATCGCTGAAATGTTGCTGGGGCCCCTGAAAGGCCAAACGGCATACGCAAAAATGCATAAGTGCCAGACTTGGTTATAAAAGCAGTCTTAGGCACGTCCTCAGGCCTGACCCCTATTTGAAAATAACCAGTCGAAAGTCTAAGTCTAAAGTCGTCATAAATTTGGTTGATTTTATGTTCCTTAAAATTTCTTTCTTCTATGATCGGTAACGGATATACCGGATATTTCGTTATGGAATTTAATTTACGGTAATCAATAGCGAATCTCCACCTTTTTGGATGCTCCAAAGGATAATCATTATTTTTTTCTTACATAAAACCACCGGGACTAGCATAACTACTTGAGATGGGCGTTATGATCTTTTTACGTAGCATATCGGTAATATGCCATTCTATAATTTTTTTCCTTATTCTTATCATACCGGTATGGTTTTTGACGAACCGGCAATGCATCTCCGGTGTCAATACTATGGTTAGTAACCTGAGTAAATCCTGGAATATCACTAAATAACGAAGCAAATTCAACTTCACTTACCACTTGTCGGATTCTATCTTGCTCGTCATTAGGCAGGTGGTCAAGATTTAATTTAACCTTGGCGGTTCAACCTTTTCTACACGCACTGGTTTCATCATCATCGTCAGCTTAAGGGACGCTTCATTAAAATCCAGTGTAGCTTGTGCGTCTGAAAGAAAGTCTATTCCTAAGGATTAAATGTGCTTGCAAATTCTTTACTATAAAAAACATCACCTTTACTTGTTCGTCCTTGATACGGATGTACAAAGGTACTTTACCTACGCACTTACATTGTTCTCCTTGCGCCGCTAATACTGTCGTATTATCCGCATTATATATGCGGTATTTGCGAAAATACTTTCTAAAAAAGATCTTCTGCCACACAGGAACACTGCGCGCCGGTATCCAGGAGTGCGGTGGCCGGGATATTATTTACCAAGACTTCAATCTTCGGAAGAGTCAAATTTTTCACCATTACTGTATTTAACTTGTAGGAAGAGGGGTTTTCGTGGCCTTCGGATTTCCGCACCCTCTCGTCAGCAGAAATCCGTTTTAGTTTAAATTATTTTTCCTTTCCGGTGCTTTCCTTTCCTTCTTTCTCCACTGGCCTTGAGACTTTTTTCCTGGGTTGCTATTGAACTGTCGACGTTCGCCGGCTGTTTTTGAATGCTCGGGTTTCCTTGCCCACTGATTCGCTTTTTTTTTCTCCGTAGCCATGTGCTTGAGTTTGCTGTAGTCTTGGCGTACCAAATTGGTTTCGCTGTTGATATTGGCGTCTTCTTTCGACGTCCGCCGTTCTTCTACTTTCAAACTGGATTGCTAGCTCAAATAACTTTTCCAGTGTAGTCGGATTTCTTAATTCAATAAAGTCTTCTTGCACTTGGGGTAGTAACCTCGGCAAAATCACTTGAATTATTTCAGGATCCGGACGGTTTCCATACAAGAGCTTGAAAACGTGAATTTTTCTTAAAATAAAGCTCGAGAGGTTTTCGATTCTTTGTTGATATATACTGAAAAGTTCCTGTTTCTAATTTCGCACGATCCCTTACAACAGGGAAGGCTTTTAGTAGGGCAGTCTTGAAATTTTCGTAAGTATAGGTGGGACTTCCTGCTTGACCCAAGAGACTTCTGCCGATACATTTGAACCAGTTAAGCGCTTGGCCCCTCAAAGCGCTGGTAGCTAAGGTAACTTTTTGAAACTCGTGCACGGGGTAGAGCATGAAGTGGTCATCCAATTTTTCCAAAAAACTGGTTACCGGTGAGTTTCCATTAAATGTTGCTTCTGGTTTCATCGAAGCGCGCATGGTCTGGACGATGTAACCCAAATCCTTCCAGGGCGGCAGCTGGCATTTCTGGATTCTGAGCGCCGTTCTTTGCAGGCAGCAGCACAGGTTCTTCTTGAAACTCGGCCATGGTTATTCTTCGTCGGGCGCCACTATCAGGTTCAATGTTTCTTCTTACCTTCTTCGGAAACATACAATGACCTGACTCGGAACAGAGAGCTTACTAAAGCTATGTTCACTAATTGTAGTAAGTAGACAGGATACACAGACGAAGGGTATACAAAACCCTTATTATTTTTCTTTATATACAATGACTTCCGTACTTCGGAATACAATGACCCTCCACTCGGGGTCTAACGTAAAAGATATCAAAATAAAACTAAACTCTAATTTAACTTTAGAATAAGATTGGCCTTATAATAACAGGAAGCGTATGTAGCACAGAGACTGTGAACACTACAATACGTTTAAATTTATCAAGAGGATTAAAACCTCTGGCCTGGAAGGCAAAGTAGCAACTGCGTAACTTCTAAGGTAAGCGGCCTGCTTCGAACTCACTGCTTCCTCTCTTCTGCTTGGCAAAAAGGCCACACTTAAATACTTGGCGTTCGCCAGACAACTTTGCATAAACTCCTTTACGCTTATAATTCTGGCCGGAAGAAGAAAATAAGAAGTGATAGTAAAGATTTAAAATAAAATAAACGTTAGTAAAACTTAAGATCCTTACACAGTAACGAGCTCCAGAATTGGAAAAGCTCTTTAACAAAAGCATACATTATGTCCTTAGACAGAAAAGAGGTAAGATAATATAATAAAATCTTAAAACAATACTATTATGCATGAAATGCATGTGTTTTAATGTTACAACTGAAAAATGTTTTAAGAAATCTTAAAAATGAATAAAAATAATCGAAAATAAGCTTAAGTTGTATGATGTCATTTTGTTAATGAATAGATTCAAATATAATGAAAAATGTTAAATCACATATATGAATTTATTTACTTCAACTTTTGAATTTTACATATATATTTAAGTCCTGTGTTATATAGTTACACACGATATCATGGACAGAAAGAGAGAGAGAAATGTATAAATTCTTATGGCTGTGCTTTTCTAATATTATCGCACCATGCTGCTAAGAGAATAGTCTGTCCATGACAAGAAGAGACTTTTCCTTGCTGGTTAGGAATGTGAACTGATTTCACTGCGGGGAGAAATGCACAGAACTCATTTAATGTTGAACATGAGTTAAATTCAAATTCCATTGTTACAGAGGATCGGCTATTTTCTCAACTGACCTAATGCTGATGATGCTGGTGATTCAACACCAAATAATATAGGCATGGCACAATCCCTTCTCCTTGTGGACAGACTATACTTTAGCTGGCAAGCACATTTGTATATTTCCTCAACAAGACAAAGAAATTTTTTTATCATATACTTTATTTATCTGTTATATAATTCTATGAATAATTAAAATGACATTACTTGCATTAAGAGCAAATATAAATTGGTACTAAATCTGAAACTATAACTACTGAGTTATATAGAAAAATACACAAATCAGTGGCATTCGATACAGTATGTTTATGCTTAATATTCTAAATAATTACCAACACATGAAGGAGGGAATCAGACACAGGCAAATTGCAGAATATCACAATAATAAGAGAATATTTGCTTACAACAGTTACTAAATTATATTTGGGAAAAAAAAAAGCAAAAATATTCTGGCAAGCATGCTACCTCCACCGATCAGCCTATTCTGGCAAGCATGCTACCTCCACCGATCAGCCTATTCTGGCATGCATGCTACCTCCACCGATCAGCTATCACCTCCGCAGGCAGGTATGGCACTCTAGTGAACGGACTACCTGCACTGATGGTGAAAATGCTATTCTGGTGGGCATGCCATTTTGCGCTACATAATAAACATAACCAAATAATGCATATAAAAATAAATAAGTAAATAAAAACATTCTGATACACCACTACACTAAAAAACAATGAAGAAATATTCTTGTAAAAATCTTGCATAACCAAAAGATATATCTGCAAAAGATGTGGTAAGCAAGAAATTTCATTACTTTCTGATTATCCATACCCCCCACTGAAAAGTTATTAACGAGGCAATGCACCACATTACCCAAAAGCATTTATGTGGAGACCCAGGTGTGTACACATCAGATGAAAGTTTGAATACACATGAATTTGCACTTTCGAAATTAAAAGGCCATTTCCAAATTCCCCCCTTTCTTTGCATTGGGTATATCTGTTTTTGCCTTAAAACATTACATTTTTAAAGGAACTATGAAATTTGACCTCTTTTATTTTCATTATATTGAAGTATTTCGACTGTTCTTAAGTGAATGTGACTGGTACACAATGCTGAGGTTGTGTACAATTCTTCGAGTTTGTGTTTCTTTAGTCCTGTTAACATAGAAGGAAAAAAAAAAAAAAACTGCAGAAGGATTTCTCAAAAGAAAAGTATATGTTTTTATTTTTTAATGAATGTAAAAAAATAGGTGAAACCAGACACATCACTGAAATAGATGTAAACATACTAAAACAAATATTTCTCTCCAAAGTTGACACTGAGTTTGTGAATGTTTTTCAAACTTACTAACGAGTTCTTGACTTTGATAGGGTGTGGATAGTCAGAAAATATCAAATTTTCACATAATACAATCAAAAAATTACATTTGATATCAACTAAAAGCATGATTTATAAGAAAAATTCTACACTATTACAAATACACAGTACCTTGAATTGCTCACATTTACAAATTAGATAATTCAAATTTTTACACTTTAGTAAAACTATGCTGATATTTTTCATTGTATATAAGTAACACAAATAAGAAAATGTGACACCATTTACAAATATATAATGATTAAAAGGTGCTAGGTATTTTACCTATTTCACTTTCACTGGAAGTGCAAACATTCTCTCTACATATACTGCCCTCTGCATTAGTTTCTAAATCAAAGAATACTGATTCGATACTTGGAGGGTTACTAAGTTCTAAAACAAAACAAAGTCAGAAAAAAGAGGCTCACATTTAATTTTATGATTAAGTCAATAATTTCAAATGAAATAAAACTATGGAATAATCTTACTTTCTTTTTGCTTCTTTTTTACTATTAACTCAGCATGGCGATATAACCTGAGATGTGAAGTAAATTCTTCAACAACTCCTTGAGTAAAGAATGAAAGCCAATTTACTTGCTTGGCACTGAAAACAGAAACATTCACTGTATAATTAAAATCGTACTCCTTAAAATAATATTAACCTTTTAACTGTCAAGTTATTTTGATGATTTGGGTGCATAAATTGTCATCTTTATTTTATTCCAAAAATGAAATATTTGCCTCACAATCCCCCCCCCCCAAAAAAGAAAAAAAGCTGTGCACTTTGAACTTTAACCTCTATCCTTTGAAACCTTCAGTAAAGTCCTGCCATCTGTTGAACTGAAGCCGAGTAAACTTCTCACGATATATATTCGGGTATAACAATACGATGCACTCAAAAAACATTAGCCTGAGTAATGTTCAGGCTTGACATTTTGGAATACCCGAGCTGTGCCCTACGTTAATTCGGGCATGACAGTTAAAGGTTAAAAGGCAAAAACTGTTGAATATTATATAATATTTATATATTTTAAATATTATTTCTAAACAGAGAATAAATAAAAGAATTTTATTTAAAAAAAATTCAAAATACTGAAAAACTAAATTAATCTTTTAAAAACGAATATCATCAAGAATTTTTTAAAAAATATACATAGTACTGTTCAATGCACAATTATGCCAAATTTTTTATGCTGATACTTTTGTAACAATATTATGTATTATATATGAAAAGGTGAAGAACAATGTACATAACAAATAAAGATACTGTGCATATCTATACAGCTAACAATCACTACAAACTAAATAATTTTCATATTGGACAAAGGTTTTTCAACTGGTTTAGCAGCTACAATGAATTAGGCACAATTATCCTGCTAAGTTTAATAGCATAATTCCAAGGTACACATTTTTCATATGTGAAATTGGATACTTGCATATTATTGTAGCCATCTTAGTAGAAGTAGAAATTGCCAACTCTTGGCTAACATGCAAATAAAAGTTCAAAAGTTCTTTTGGTAACCATATCGACTGTATGTTGCAAGGCGAAAATTCCTTATATCACATTTTTCTTATGCAAAACTGCCAAACTGCATCAAGGTAGTTGCGCTAAAATGAAAGTACCAAAAAATGATGCATATTGAGTAAAAAAAAGGAAGGGAAGCAGTTCTACATCTTCCCAGCAATTGGCCAATATACAACTTGCATTTTTTTCTGTCTCAAAAGTGTAACAGATTTATATATATAGCATTGTTTTAACATACAGATTTCAACATAATATCAGACTTTTTTAAAAATGACATGCCCATAATCAGTATAGCCTTTATATATGCATTATTTAAAATGATACAAATAATGTAATAAAATACATAGCATACATACATGCATTTATGTTTGGTACCTATCATCTTCCTAAGGTAACCAAATGAAAATGACTAATATTCATCAGAAAAATATTTTAAATTTATTTATAATTACAGAACTTCTAATTATAAACTCAAAAATAAATTAGCTATTCAAAATGCTTTAAATTTAAATATTTGAAAAGCTAAAAAATTGTAAATAACAAAAATATTGTTACGTTTTTGGTATTTAAATGGCTAATGTTAGTTGAATTATAAATTAAATTGTTTTATTCCCCGTGCAGTGCAGCACGTGACGAATATTAAAGGAAAGCTGTGCTGGAAAATTAAAAATACAAGAGCCCGTGCATTTAACATTTAATAAATAAATATCTCTTTTTGATTTCGAGAAAGTTCCAGAAAATTCTCGTGCGCGATTTAAAATCATATAAAAAGGAGGAAAACTTTTCAACTCGATAGATTTTAATTGTTTTAAGAGTTTGCTTGGAAAACTGTTCTTGTTGACTGTAGCGAATTTCTTTAGCTGTTTTGAATTAAGTTCTCTTGAACGTTTGAGTAGTTAAAAGATGACTATTGTGAGATATTGTAATATTGCATGAATATCTGAGGAGATTTAAGCATTTTTGTTGTGATAATAATAAATTTTGTTCATTTTTCATCGGACTTGTGCATTCATTTCGTAATGAACCCGTACACATGCAACAACATTTCAGTTTCCTTCTCAAATACAAATAATATCTAATGTTATCAATCTAATGGCTCATAAAACTAAATATTTACTATTGCTGAAAAAACTAAAACTTAAAGTGAATTTTAATAATTCAGCACAAAAATAAGACATGTAATAGACACAAATCATCCGAGTTACATTTACATCTTTTCTGTTTTTCACTAAAAACCATACAAGAATAACTACTGGACAACATATTACAAATAATTTTTCACTAAAAAAAGATTAGAATTTTTTTTTTAAATTTATATTATAGAATCTGCTAGGATTAAGTTAAATTTCAAACAAAATGCAGTAGTCGGTAAAAATATATTTATGAGTGCCCCTTGGTGATAATTGGCGGTACACGAACACATTTTTGTGTCAAAAATCGCCACCACACAAATCCAAAATAACAAATCAAAGAATTGCACAAACTTGGTATCCATGTACACATCGACCTATTTTCACTTTAAAACAAAATCAGAGAATTGTACAAACTAAACATTCCGAACACCCTTGACTTTGTCCATGTACACATCGATCTATATATTCACTTAGGTCAAAGAAGCAGCCAACAAAAAATATAAAATCTCAATAAACTACATTTGAAATCAAACAGTGAAATATAAAAAAGAAAATTCAACTTAACAACTACACAAAGGAAATATCCACTTACCTTATTTACAAATTTCCCTGCCTTCAGTCAAACAAAAATTCCTTAACAGCATCCAAAAACTTCCTAAAATTATCTGAACTAGAATCTGTATACTGGCGTCGCCCCATAAATTCACAAAAACAAGAGTAAAAAATATCCTCCCTAGTGCAGGTATCCTCCGACATTTGACTATATGCATTTCCTTCCTACAAACAGAATACTTATAATAGCCTTCATTTACACACCAGTCAATTAATGCTTTTTCTCCTTTCATTCCAAATCGGACAGAAACTGCAAATTAATCTTACCACATGCAGCCATTTTACTATGTAAACTGCAAAATAAGCAGCGTACTTCCTAACCAACATCCAACACATAAACAAGCCCTTACAATTCTTTTCCCATCAGTCAAATTCACTGCAGTCACACAACCAATTATGTCATAATAGGGTTTCCATAATATACAACTACTCAGGTTACATTTAAATGAAATAACTTAGTATCCAAGGGGCACCCTTCAATCTACTCTAACACAGCAGTCTTTAAAGTTTTAATGACGTAAATAACAGAATATATAATAATTTTTGCGAGTTCTGTTTTGTTCACATACACAACCAAAGGATCTGGAACAGTATTAAGTCGTGTTTTGAACACAGAAAACATTTATATCTTACTCTACTGGCTACAAAATTTGTAGCCAGTAGAATAAAACAATAAAGGAAGTAATTTTGTTGTAGTGCTCTTTCTAAAAAAATTTTCATCACATATATTGCAAACACTGTGTTGTCCTGTTTCTGGTCTTTATTTGTAACAGATAAGACTTTACCATTTCATGGAAATATTCATATTCCCTCAAAGTATTAATAATTGCATTGAATATCATTGACAATAATGTTATCTAAGTACCTGTACAAAATATCAAAACCATCTGGAACTCAGTGTGTTTCTTAAATGAAGATGTTACATAAAAAATCAAACAAAAAGAATTTTCACAGTTCTTTAAGATCTGACATAGTTTCTTTTCTTAATTCTTTCATATGATATAAAATTTAGTGCATATTTGGCTTGTAACTGGTACGATTAAGTTGTGTGGCCTCAAGCACGAATCATTTAGATATGTGGGGTTACTATACATGGGGGAAAACTAATAAAGCATATTTTATCATACAGTAAAATTACAAATCTTTTTTGTGTGTAAGTAATTGCATATTTGAAAAGCATTTTGAAAAATTATAATTTTATTTATGGATTTGCAGGACATAGTCATAATATCTGAACATAAAGTTTCATCACAGCAGAAATAAGACAATTTTTAAGTGAACCTAATGCTTTTTATTTTCCATCAGAAAACTGCTAATGAAGTAATGAGAATTTGACAAAACTGAAAAAAGAGATGTAATATGTCAAATATTTCTTCTTTTACATATTTAAAATGCTGAAGCCTACTAAAACATGCAACTCTGAGAAATATATCCTTTTCTCCTATAAATCATTACAGATTTTATGAAGAATTTATTAATAATGAACATAAACAGAGTGAGAATTAAAAGTTTAATCATGAAAATGACTCTGATACCAATAAGGATGCAGATATTAATAATTCAAAATAAACAGTTTAAAAGAAAAATGATGAACTATATATCTACTTAAAAATAGGTGCTATTAAATATTAGTAAATCAAACTCTGCTGTTGTAAAAATATTTTTTAAATGTACATTTATTTTTTATTTGATTTAATTGATTTTCTTGAAAGTTAATTCCCTCCTTCCTGTGATTCTAAGCCCATATAATTAAATTTAATGTTAAAAATGAAAACATTATGTAAATGTAGACAAACAGCAAGAATAAGACCTGGAAATTAGTGTGAAAGAAATCAGATCACATTTGCAATAACTAATATATTGCAGATAAAATAATTTATCTGCTTTTAAGAAAAACTATCAGTCAAATTTTACAAGTAACTGGATGTAAGAGAAAAAATTTTCATTAATTTGAATAAAGTTTTTGCAAAGTTTCCCTTACTGAAATATCTGCTACCTATACTGCCAGAACCCAGACTACAATTACTAAATATGTTTAAAATGCCAGCTGATTATTAAAAAATGGCAATAATGCAATATATCAAGCCTATTTTTGACTTATTTGGAAAGTTAGCCTCAAATTTAGAATTTTAAAAAACACATTTTTCTAGAAAATATCTATTCTTACAAAAACGCACAGAACAAAAATAAATTCTTTACTTGTTGGAAAAATTATTTATCATTCTTCTACACATTTCATTCAGATCAATGAGGAAATCTTCCTTTGATGAAACACTTTTATACCATGATTGTATAAAATCTCGCAAAATATATATGATGATCTAAAAAGAATTAAAAAATACTTATGTAAGATTTCAAAAAACAAATAAAAACATTTATTTATATTTAATCATGCAACATTCAAAACTTCCATACATGGCTTAAAAATTTCCTAATTAAAATATTTCACAATATTTTTATTCTAAGAAAATTAAAAGATCTAGAAAAAAATCATAGAGAATCTAGAAAATACAAAAAAAAATCTTATTACCTCTCGCAATGGCTCATCAATTTCATTTGATCCAGTAAGGCGCTGATCATACTTTAGACATCCAAATGAAGAACTCATTTGAGCAACAACCTAAATTAATATTTTGATACATAAAGACAATCTTTTATAAGTATGCATACATGTATGTACAACAAACATATGTAAATCAGAACTCAATTTTAATTTGCAACAGCCCTTAACTCTCATTTTAATTTGGCAACATCCCCTTTCCTGTCTTAATAATATGAACTGCTTACAATAATGCTATCTAAACTGTATCATTTCAAAATTAATCTTCCACATGATTCTTAGATAATGCTAATGATACAAATATGTAACCTTTCAGTCAATAATAATTTAAATTTTTGTAACAAAATTTAGAATTAACCAATAAGGATAAAGCTAAATTAAACTAATTTATTCTGAACTCAGTTTTCATTTCAGGCAGATCATATTCTTCCCTTTCTTTGCTGCATTACAGATATGTAGTCCCCTGCCACTCCTCCTTTTTTAAGGTATTCCCAAAAGAATAAAAGTATTCAAGGAAAAGTGTACTTTTTTTTTGTGCCAGTTTTAACTGGGTCTATCAGAATGTTATATTAAAAATAAAAAATATTCATGCTGCTAAGACTGTATTTAGTTTTTCTTTAATTGGCTTCCATCATCATGCATGTGCATCATTTTTTGAAAATGACACTATTACACACACACAAATGATATTGCTTTATACATTTAGTTTTTGATTTTGATAAAAAATGATAAACAATTTCATGAAGAGAGATAAAAGGTGGATAGATTTCGATAGAACTTTTACAGAATATTACGAGTATATAATTATATATAAGTCTTAATACCAAATTGTTTCCATAGTTTTTTTTTCTTTTCTTTTTGAAAAATCCATTTTCAATCCAAATTTCAATAACAGTTCAAGCAGTGAGAAAATACATATTTTTGAAACACATTTTGATACAAAACATTCATAAGAATTAGTGTGAGATGTTAGGAGATAAGTACCTCAGCTTATTTTACAATGTCCAAATACACAAAGAATTTCATGATGAAAAAACTTCCTGTAAAAATGATTTATGCTTTAGTTGCCCATCCATATTAGACAAAGAAAATAATTCTCAAAGAGAAAAAAAAAAAAAAAAAAAAAAAACTGAAATGTTTTAGATTTTAAATTACGCCCAAAGGGGCGTTTTTTTAACATTTTGTGTGTTACCTTTCTTTATTAAATATCATGTTCCTCGCACTTAAACCATAAGATCCAGTGCAACAGCAATATCGCAAAATAGTTTTAAAACGAGCATATCTTTAGAATTTCCGATACAGAGACTCACGCGCTGGAGATAAAAATGTTTTTTCTGCACAACGTTGCCATTGCTCGCTTTGAAATCCTTGAGTTTGTTAATCAAAAATTCGTCAAAGTTTTAAAAAATAGGAAATCGATCATAAAACAAATTTCAAATTTCAAATTTGGTCTTCCACATGCTCATATTCGTTGGAGGATTATGTTATTCAAAATTCAATGACTCTATGTACCGTTATTTTATGACAATGTGAGAAATATACATACATTTATGCAGATTTTCATTATTTAATTTCTTCAAATATAATGCAGAACTCTTAACATTTTATGGCAACAGTTTGAAAAGTGAACCGACATTTATCCGTCCGACGCAAAATGCCAAAACGAAACTAATAGTCCTTCGGGATTCAAATCCCTTTGGACTAAAAAAAAAAAAAAAAAAAAAAAAAAAAAAAAAAACTCAGACTGATGGGTTACCACTGGGCATGCAGCAGAGATTACAGGTATTTCATTTGATAGTGTAAAGTCAATTTAAAAAAACATCATAGCCTAATAGGTATTCAGAATGTCAATGGAGGCCTTAAAAAAAAAAAAAAAATTGCATGAGGATTTCAGAATAATTCTTGGCAATGTTTCAAAAGGAGGCAGAAAAAAATTTCGCATATACGCACAAATATGAAACATGAGTACACCACTTTCATCTTGAGAGTAAGCAACAAAATATGGCTTGGAAAAATTCCTCTCTCCTAAAAAGAAGTTTTGCATGTCATCATGAGATACTAAAATTATGGCCAGTGTTTTCCGAGACGCCAAAGGGCTGCTGATTGATTATATTCATTACAGAAAAGCAATCACAAAGAAGCATTATGCACAGGTAAACAGGTAATAGCAAAACTGTATGATGAAATTAAAAGTAAGCAAATGAAACTGGAGCAGACAAAAGGAATTATGACCATAGCGACACGTTAAACACCATAGTTAAGGTAACAATTGCTAGAATTGCTGCAGGATTCCAAGTTAGCTCACCTTCCATACTTGCTTCAAGGGACTTTTTCCTGATTAAAAACTAAAAGAAAACTTTTGTGAGACATGTTTCGCATGTGATGATGATGTTATGAATGCTGCTGATGACTCGTATTTAGAAAAGAATTTTTCCTATGCACTACAAAGACACAGGAAGAAATGCACTTATAACAAAGGATTATATACAAAAATAAACATAATTCATTTGATATTGTTTTTTAATCTCATGCCAAATGAACTTTCTGGACTTGATTCTTCTGAAAATACTTCTATGTACTTCAATTAAAATAACATGGTTTCTTCAAAGAACAGGAGCCATCAATTTCAATAAATGCAGACTTCTTGCCATGTGCATATTCTCTGATTCACAAATTATGAAAAGGAGACATCAATGATTACATTATGAATTTAGAACTTCATAAAACTACAGCAGAAATTTCAACATCACACTTACAACAATGAAATTATTCATACTCTGAATGAAACTGAGGCTTAAAAAGAATTCCACAAAAATATTTAAGTGTAAAGAGTTCTCTGCATTTTATTGGTTACACAAAAGTTCCTCAAGCTGAATTTCAAAAGAAGTGAAAGTCTATCGGTTTTTCCTTCCACAGAACAGAGAACTTTTTAAAAATAATGCATATGAAGCAGAGAATAGGTCACAGGGGCAAAAAACAGTATTATAATGATAATGTTTTAAATGGTTTTCTGGGAAAATTTGAACAGCTTGCATGAAAATGCAATTTTTAAAATACTTCTGGATTTCTTCCAATCAAACAAAATCATGGTGATATGAGAGACAAAACAGCAAGTACTTTCATGGAAATATACTGGGATAAAGGAGAAGTGGGCTATGTTAAATGATTCTTCTAATGATAACACAATATGCTAAAAAATACAATAATACCAGAGACAGGCCAAAAGGAGACAACATTATGGTAAACGACTGTTCTTTTATTTTTTCATAATTCATATTAATATAAATCCATATGTATCTCAACAAACAAGACAATTTAAGTATCATTTTCATATTCAGCGACCCAGAAAAATGAAGGAATCTCATTCTATGTTCTATACTTTTGAAAATTTACTGAATAAATGTTATTTGCATATAATTTCTTTAAAAATAAAAGCATTTACTTATGTTTCAAATTTATCTTTTCATTTTCTCACATATATTACACCTTTACAACCAATGGTTTCATTCAATATGAAAAATTTTAAAAAGCCACGTATAAACTCAAAAAATATACATCGTTGTATGTGACTTTCAAGAAAAATTTTCATTCATCTTAAGTTTACAATACAGTTACTAAAACACTTTTAAAAAGAATATTTTACATGCTAGTAGCAAAGTGAATTAAAATATTTAAAAAAGAAAATGAAAGCATAAAAAATAAGCCCTTTACAACCAAAATTTAACAGCTATTACATTTTTTTTTTTTTTTTTTACATTCATGTCAGAATACAGGGCTACTATGAATGATTAATCATATTTCAAAACATAAAATATAATAACTGTATGTGCTTGAAATCATTTGTACTTTTAAAAGTATTATATATATAATAATTGATACATTAAAATTTTACTTAGGGTTTATAAAGAAAATTCAAGGTTTGTCTTATTTCTGAGATAATCTGGGTATCTGTGTAATGATTTATAACTACAGCCTGGATGGCTGCTTTGGAATCGACTAGAATAACTGCTTTATAGAATTGATCTTTATCTTGAGGTTCCAGAGCCAATGAGATTGCAAGGATCTCTGCATCAGAATTCGATGAAGCGCCCCACAGAAGTACAACGGGAAAAAAGTTTACTGTATACACCAGCCCCAGTGTTGTCTTGTATTTTAGAGCCATCAGTATATACTCTAGTCCAGGGGTGGCCAAAGTGTGGCTCGCGAACCTGATATGGCTCTTGCAGGCAATTTGTGTGGCTCATCTATATAAAATATACGTATGAAATTTAGTAAACTAAAAGCCTTAATTATTATTCAGTGTCCAAAAAGAAGTAATTAGTTTACACTCTTTTTAAAAAGTTATCAGAGATTTATCTCTATTTAAAACCTCCTCCACTACTTCTATAATGATGTAAATATGAACTCGTGGCTTTTATAAAATATAGATGCGGCTCTCGAACATTCCTGAATTCAAACGTGCTGCTCTTACTGACATTAAGTTCGGCCAACCTTGCTCTAGTCCGTTCAGGATATTGTTCACATAACTTACATAACATGTTTGATTTTAATATTGCATCAGGAATGTTTTTCTTTTTTCAAGTCATATATATCTAGCTGGTATTTGATATCAACATATTCAAGGGTATTAACCATGACCTTGTTACAATTCATTGGTTTGTTTTCGTCTTATTTCTTATAATAAATTCTCACAAGCTTCTAAGCTTCTAGGGAAGACATTTAAGTCTTCATAGTACTTCCCCTGGTTTGCATTCATTCATCCAACGCGCTCTATGCAATGCTTTCATTTTAACGAATATTCCAACTGCTTTTTCTTGATTTCAGTAGCAACTGGTGGGTTGGAAATATAGCTTTGCATAGCTGTAATCCGAATAGTTTTCACCACTCCTGTAATAATTCCAAGAGCTTTGTTTCAGGCTCTTTCTAAAGAATCAATCTTCCCTTGTGTAGTACCTGGCAAATCATTGTTTATTATATTTTGCTTTCATCAGTGCATGTTTATCAACAAATGACAACTTGAGCAATGACTCGTGCAACGATGCCTAAACAATTTTTTTTATATTATTTTTATTTTATATATTAGTAATTGAATAACAAAGTGTATGGTAACCTTTTATGTTGATATTACACTTAGCAATGATTACAGATTTAAGTTAAATGCTTTAAGAAATGATGACCAAGAAAATATTAACAAAAATTTCTTTCCATATGCTAAAAATAGATATTGTTAATGATACTCACAGACGAAAGCATTACATTTAGTGCTTATTATTCCCATAAACCCAGAACTGGTGCCAGAGCTCATATGGTTGCAATGGGTGGCAGAATTTAGGGAGCAACAAAATTTTTAGACTATAGGGAAAGCACTGGGACCCAAAATTTAGGGACGGCAAAAATTTAGAGGACCCGCAGAAACTGCATCGAGCGGTAAGATATCCAGCACCGGCCCTCAATAAGTATATGTCAGAATTTATTTACTCCGGCCTCGGATAAGCCTTAAAGCAGATGCAAGAAATACATGTAAGTATAATAAATAACTAAACTAATACTATCAAGTTCACTTGTCTCAGTGCACGATAAAAGCAAGATAAAATTTAGCAGAACAACTTGTTTTTCGTTGTCAATCTCATTCTACATTGCCAATAATGTACAGCGAACGCTATTAAGCTAGGCTAAAATTATACGTTAGTGTTTCCAAGGAATTTCAGTCAATACAGCAGATCACGCTATTCCTTAACTTGTTTCAACTTTCGATTATGTCAAAAAGAGTTTCTAATTCTGCAGCTGAAACAGGATCTACAAAGCGAAAGCATGTTTTGATGTGCATTAAACCAAAAGTGGCATTGCTACAAAAAATGGTAAAGGTATATCAGTCTCAAAATTATGTGAGAAGTATGGCATTGGAAAGTCATTGTTGATGAGAAAATAATATGGCATAAGGAAATGTATATGATATAAGAAAACAGAAAAAGGAACTTTTTGATATTATTTATGGATTCTGATACTCCATTTGCAATGAATAACAGAAAAATTATTCGTAATGCTAGAAGTGACAGTCATGACAAAGTGATGACTGAATGGGTCAGACAGCAAAATATTTCATGAAGAAATGAACTTAAAAATTGAATGCACATACTCAACAGGCTGGTTAACTAAATTTAAAAACAGGAAATTTGTGCGGCTCATGCATATAAAATATATGTATGAAATATGGTAAACTAAAACTATTTAGTGTCCAAAAGGAAGTAATTAATTAGTTTAGACGCTTTGTACAAAGTTATCAGGGATTGCTTTCTATTTAAAACCTTCTCCACTACTTGTATAATGATGTAAATATGAAATTGTGACTTTTAGAAAATCTAGATGCGGCTCTCAAACATTCCTGAATTTAAACATGCAGCTCTTACTGACATGAAGTTTGGCCAGCCCTGGTATATAATATCTAGGTATTCTAGAGAATGACAAATGCTCTTTAAGCAAAGCATGAAAAAAAGATTATGATAAGGTTATTATTTAAAAGACATTCATTCCTCCAAAATGCAAATGTTATTTTGAAAAATTAATGAAAGTGCCATTAAAAAACTGTTATTCGAAATAAGTAAAAAAAAATAGTGAAATGAACTTGATGCAACATAATAAGTTTGTATTTTCTATCTGGCTGAGACTGGGAATCAGCAAAATCTACCTGACAACGGAAATCAAATTCAGAAACAATCATAAGTTTACATCAATGCCCTTTGTAATAACTTTTTGTTTTTTCTGACAGGGCTCACAAAGGTGGTTGTACAAGTTCAATATCATTACATGTAATGTTTTTGTATTTAGTTGAATTCTATCGCGTCGTCCATATGCTCAAATGAGTTTTCCTGAAATACAGAAAATAAATCAGCATCCATGACGTAATACTGTATAGTACTGACACTTCCTTCAACAGGCTAAATGAATGTACTTTTATTTTTCACAAACATCACATCCTAGCAATTTAGCAGCCAGAAGTCCTTGGTATAATAGTCATTTGGGATTTTACATCATTTACTAACTTCTGGTATGTAGTTTCATTTTTTCAAAACGAATCAGAAATGTATTTCATACCTTGCCGGTTTGTCATTTGTCATTCCATACAATGCCTAGGAAATGTGTGAAATAAGAATCATTTCATACAGTTCCGGCTAGTTTCAGGCATTCTACAGAATGCTGGATTTCAAACTTTGCAGGTAACATATATATATATATACAGTGGGTGATGTTAAGAACTGTGCTCACCATAAAAACCAAGCAAGAGATTATAACTAAAGTAGAGAGTGGAAAAAAAATGACTGATGCTGCTAGGCCGTATGGCTTGAAAAGGTCTACAGTAGGCACAATTCTAGCTAAGAAAGATATCATCAAGAAATCTTCAACAGGCTAAATGAATGTACTTTTATTTTTCACAAACATCACATCCTAGCAATTCAGCAGCCAGAAGTCCTTGGTATAATAGTCATTTGGGATTTTACATCATTTACTAACTTCTGGTATGTAGTTTCATTTTTTCAAAACGAATCAGAAATGTATTTCATACCTTGCCGGTTTGTCATTTGGCATTCCATACAATGCCTAGGAAATGTGTGAAATAAAAATCATTTCATACAGTTCCGGCTAGTTTCAGGCATTCTACAGAATGCTGGATTTCAAGCTTTGCAGGTAACATATATATATATATATATACAGTGGGTGATGTTAAGAACTGTGCTCACCATAAAAACCAAGCAAGAGATTATAACTAAAGTAGAGAGTGGACAAAAAATGACTGATGCTGCTAGGCCGTATGGCTTGAAAAAGTCTACAGTAGGCACAATTCTAGCTAAGAAAGATATCATCAAGAAGATGAAAGACGTTAAAGGAGTAATGAAAATTACATCTGAGAAGCAAAGAAGTGCCATCCATGAAAAAATGGAGAGTTTGCTTTTAGTTTGGAGGATATCAGAGCAACGGTCTTAAAATGGCTTCCAAACCAAGCTGATGTCAATAGGGTTGCTGATCTCTACAACGACATTGCCGTCAACAATTTCCTGAAAGTCCTGAAGGAGAGAGAAAAACAATCGACATTGGACAATAAATAAAACTATATGTATGTATTATATTTGTAATAAATAAACTTACTAAGAAATTATACTTGTACATGGCATTTTTTTAATATTAAATTTTTAGGACCTCCAGAACGAATTAATCGAATTCCGATTAACATATACGGTAAATCGGTGATCGGTTAACGAACAATTCGGATAGCGAACATAATCTTGGAACGGATTATGTTTGTTAACCGATCACCCATTATGTGTATATATATATATATATATATATCATTACAAAAGTATTAATTAAAATGAGTTCACTTACTTTAGGTATACCAAGAATAGGAAGCGGTCTTCTTTTTGGTTTCTGGCGTGCAGAATTAAAATTTATATATATTCGTCTATTTTTTTCATAGTATGATGTAACTACGAACCTAAAATGAGATGAGGCAAAGATAAAATTAAATATTTCACATTACAACATAACACTACAAAATATAAAAAGATAACTAACAGATCAAAGCCAAAATACAAAGCTTACTCCAAAAGCAATAAACTAGCAATACTTATGTACTACATAAATATACATTAGCAATATTTATAAGCACAACATGCCTGATTTTGATATACTACTGATGATTTTTAATCAATGACATATTTTTATCTCTAAAGATCTGGAAACTTATTGCTTAGGATTCTTAAACCACTTCGAATTTTGTTTATTTTAAAATCCCATGTGTCTCTAACCCACTAATAAAGCATATTCTAATCTTTATATAAGCTGAATAACATATTTTGTAAACTTTATATACACACACACACATATATATATAGAATAAAAAAACTGAAAGGAAATTTGGTACTTACGTATTATCGCAACCAGGTTGGCACGATTTGTAAGTTTGAGTAAAAAAGTATGAATAGAAAGAAAATGTACATTTATTAATTACAGATAATTTTTAATACAGTTTTTTATATTATTTTGTTTTAAAATATAAAATAGCAATTAAACCCTTCCGGTTTCGAATTTGAATAAGTTGCAGAATTATTTTTTCGGCAGAAATCTTTTGGCTATTGCTTTTAGCACTGATTGAAAACTGTCTTCGCCATTGTAATTATTCCAATCTACAACAGTTTTGTCAGCAATTCCCATCTCTTCTGCACAAAATTTAATTGAGGTTAACTCTTACACCAACAATAAATGAAGCGCACCGCTGTCACAAATGAAATTCGGCTACCTTCAAACCAATTTCCGGTTCTCACACCCAAATGTTGATTGCACTCTTCGACGTTACATTTCCAGAAGATTTGCTTTCCAAAATACAGTTTCATTTTATGAGAATTTTTACAAGTACGTTCGTTCAGTATAATTCCATATCCCTGCAGCAATTCAAAAGCATTTTTTCACTCGCAGGCAGATCCCAAATACCCATAGTTAAAGTATTTCAGGGCATTCAATCTAACCAGTAAAAAAATAATTTCTTTACGAAAAACTACGTATAACACGTAGGATCGCCAAATTTGGCGATTTATGCGAATTTTGGCCTGGTTGCATTAATACATAAGTACCAGAAATTTCTGATTTTAATAGGGGTATTCCCCCCTTTTGTCCTACAAATAGTAACTATTCAGGGCCTATTCTAGTGGAAGGGGGGGGAGATGGTGCACTACCAAATTTAAGGATGGTGAAATATCAAACATATATTTCTGTAAAACAGGGCAGCCAGTTTTAATTTGCACTTGGGCAGCCAATGGTCTAGGATTGGTACTGCAACTATTTATAATATTGTTACTGATTTGGTATTTAAATAGTTAATGTTGGTAGAATTATAAATAAAATTGTTTTATTCCCCGTGCAGTGCAGCACGTGAAGAATATTAAAAGAAAGCTATGCTGGAAAATTAAAAATACAAGAGCACGTACATTTAACATTTAATAAATAACTATCTCTTTTTTGATTTCTAGAAATTGCTTGAAAAATCTTGCATGTGATTTAAAAACTTATAAAAAGGAGAAAAACCACTCAATTCAATTAGTAGCTGTTTTAAGAGTTTGCTTAGAAACTCCTTCTTGTTGACTGTAGTGAATTCGTGGATCAGCTTTCTTTAGCTGTTTTGAATTAAGTTCTGTCGAACGTTTGTAGTTAAAAGATAACTACTGTGAGATATTGTAATACTGTAAAAATATCTGAGGAAAATTTAAGCATTTGTTTTATTTGATGTGATAATAATACATTTTTGTTAATTTTTCATCGGACTTGTGCATTAAATTCATAACAAACCCGTACGCATGCAACAATATAAGCAATCCAAAACTACATCATTTCAAAATAATCTGCATCATAGGATCATGCATAATGCAGCAAAGCAGGTACATTTTAGTCAACCACTTTTTTGAGAACCAAAAGCTTTTGACACTCTACTAGGCCTTTTAGTTTTATGATTGCTCGCTTCCAGCTAACACATAGCAGCTCATTTCGCTGTCCATCGTCTAAAAATATGTTAAGCTTCCAAAAATGTGGGGATGCATACTGCACCCATAATGATGTGAATCAGACTATATGCATCTCAAGAATTGCTTTATCTGGTAATAAAACTATGTTGTACTTATGGCTACATTTCAATAAATTTCCTCTTTTTATCTACCCATTAAACTTCTCCAATCTGTTACATACATACAGAATTTAAGAAAATTGATGGTAACGACTTTAAAGGATACAAAACATCTCAAAAGTCACAATGGTAAAAGTATATTTTAGGGTACTCCTTGGCGAAACTCGGCGGTACATGGATACCGAGTTTGTGCAATTCTTTGACTTGTTATTTTGGCTTGTGTAGCGGCGCTACACAAAGCCAAAATAACAAAAGAAAGAACTGCACAAACTGGGTATTCATATACACATCGACCTAGTTTCACTTAAAAAAAAAAAAAAAAAATCCCAGAATTGTACAAAAATGGCATTGCATACTCTCTTGACTTTATCCATGTACACATCAACTTATTTTCACTTAAAAAATCAGAGAATTTCACAAACGAGGCTTTGCCCACTCCCTTGACTTTGCCCATATAAGCATCAAACTATACTAATTCAGAAGTCAAACAACAAAAATCAGCGTTAATTTACAAAATTTTGTAAATTAACGCTGATTTTTGTTGTTTGACTTCTGAATTAGTATTTGTACGGCGTGTTATTGTGTCTTAATCAAACTATATTCACTTAAAAAGTCAAAGGAGCAGCCAACAAAAAATATGTACTATATTTTAACTAATATAACTATATTTTAAATATAGTTATATTAGTTTTAATTTTAATAAACTATATTTTAAATCAAACAATGAAATAACATAAAAAAGGAAATTCATCTTAGCACTACACGAAGGAAATATCCACTTACCTTATTTACGAATTTATGCATCTTCAGTAAAACACAATTCCTTAACAGCATCCAAACACTTCAGAAAATTATCTGAACTAGAATCTGTATACTGGTGTAGCCACATAAATTCACAAAAATAAGAGTAAAAAATATCCTCCATTCGAAAATATCCGATGTTCGACCATACGCATCTCCTTCCTCCAAATAGGACACTTAATAATGACTTCTAAGTAAACCTTCATTTACACACCAGTTAATTAATGCTTTTTTCCCTTTCGCTCCAAATCCTACAGAAACTTCAAATTAATCTTACTACATTCAGTCAATTTACCATGTAAATCACAAAATAACAATGTAGTAATCTATCACACACAAGCTCTTACCCGAAATCCGACACACACTTTCCAAATTTTTTCCCACGATTCAAATTCACAGCAACCAATTACATCATAATAGGGTTTCCATAGAATTCAACTACTCAGGTTGTCATAAATGAGAAAACAAGTTGGCGATAAATGAAACAACAATTTCGCGATAATACAAGGGGTTCCCTAAAGTCAACTCTAACCATCACAATTTTAAGCGTGTAATAAGATGCGAAATAAGAGCATGGAAACACAGTAAGTATGAAGAAATATGGAAAATGAAAAGTCATTTTAATACACTATTGCAAGAAATAATGTTGATATTTACAAGAAATAATGTTCAATATTTACAAGAATGGTATCATACTGTCTGTCTACGAGAAGAATAGCACCCGCCACAGTGTCTGGCGGGTGGTGGTCGCTATAGCAACAGGGCTAGTATATTTCAAATAGGGACGAGCTAAGAGTTGCTTTATTGTTATTTTGTGTAAAAGTATAGTTTAGGGTACCACTTGGTGAAACTTGGCAGTACATGGACACTGATTTTGTGCAATTCTTTGACTCGTTATTTTGGCGCAAAAATCGCCGCTACACAAAGTCAAAATAACAAACAATTGCACAAACTCGGTATCCATGTACACATCGACTTATTTTCACTTAAAAAAAACCCTCGAATTGCACAAAAATGGCATTGCGCACTCCTTTGACTTTATCCATGTACACGTCGACCTATTATTACTTAAAAAAAATCCCTGAATTGTACAAAAATGGCATTGCACACTCTTTTAACTTTATCCCTATACACGTCGACATAGTTTCACTTAAAAAAAATCCCAGAATTGCACAAACTTGCATTACCCTTTACTTTGTCCATGTACACATCGATATATTTTCACTTAAAAAGTCAAAGAAGCACCAAATTCTACAATATAGGCAAACAAAAAATACATAAACTCAATAAAATACATTTTAAACCAAACAATAAAATAACATAAAAAAGTTAAAACATGTTATACATTTAAGCACTACCAAAAGCAAATATTCACTTACCATGATTTTTCAAACCAGGTACTCTTTCTGATCGAACGCTTCACAAAGTGACCATCTGAACCTTTCTTCCTACAAACCCATTGAAATCCACCTAAACGCTTTTAACAAACACCACAAAAACGCTTACAAAACATCCCATGATTCAAAATTTCCCAGAATCATGCACCCGATTATGTCACAAAAGGGTTTCTATAACATTTAACTACTCAAGCTACCATAAACGAAACAACAACTTTGCCATAATACAAGGGGTACCTTAAAGTCTACTCTACCCATTATTTTGTTTCTGGTGACTGTTGGCTGGGGAGAAAAGAGTTTATCATTCATCTTCAAGACACCCCTATGTAAAATGGTTCCAGGCTCGTTTCTATGGCAACAGACAACTGCAGACTGACTGACGAGAGCTTTTCTTATGATAGACTGCACAATGCATTTGTCATAATGATGACTGACTTCTTTACAAGACACAGATCAACTCATCTGAAGCCCTTGTTATCAATCAGAATTAGCATTGCTGCTACAGACGACATTACGAGTATGTTCTAAAATGCCAGTCACTTCATAGTAATTGTAATGCACATACTGCAGTTGATGGTCCTTCATTAGAACAATTCTAGTGAATATCAAATACTATTTCTTGTAAATATCCATAATTAAAATGATTTACCTCATACCATATTTCTGCATTCAGATTCTATTACAACCTATATCACTTTTGTTTTTTGGGCCATATTTGTTTTATCAGCCTTTAAAGTTATAACCACCAATTCTATTACAGCTCACATATATTACATATATTTCCTTGACCTACGTTTCAATATACTGTACTTTTTTTTAATTTACACGCATAAAAAAGCAAAGATAGTTCATTAATATAAAGCAACACTGCATTCACAGTTTAGCTTCAATTTATTAATTAATATTCTTTTTTATACCCTTTACACTATAACATATTTATTTCCTATTAAAAGACAGCAGCTTCATATTTTATTAGAAAAATAAATAAATTAATAAACAAAAATTCTGACATATTAAAAAACATTAAGATTTGTAGCTTTAACAAAATAGATGATAGAAACTTTACATTAAATGTACTACTTCATTAGTCTTGTTTTAGTGCTTAAAACATAACATGGTTCCAAGTTTTTTTTTTAAACATTTCAGAACTATTAATGAAATTAAATAGTTTAAAGCTTAACATTCACATTTAAATGACAGCTTTTTTTTTTAAAGGAAAATGGAATAAAGATTTTAGCAGCCTTTAAAAACTTCAAAACAATACAACTTATATACTAGTTAAAATATTAAATCTGATAGCTCAGATGAAAATAACTAATGCAATATTTCAATTAATTCAAATAAAATATATTCAACCATGAAGCAGTTTTTAGTCATATATTATGGTGTACAAATAAATGGATATGACAGTCTCACTCATTTTACAACACTGTGAGATATTCATCTAGCACCATAGAGTAAACTTCAAATCAGCAAATTATTAAAATACTGTATTGTTGCAGTATTTATTATAACAATTCCTTGAGGCTAGACTGATAATTATCGCAAATAATATTCCAGTTTTTATATTTTAAGATGTCACTATATACATAAATAAATAAATCTTGCTGGCTCAATTTTCAACTGGCATAAATATTACCTAAATTTTCTAGGTATAATTTGTCATGATTTTTTTTTTTTTACCTTTCAGCTAAATAAATTTTCTGTTGTGATATGATACATAATATAATAAAAATTTTATTTCTTGTTATACAAGAATGAAAAACTGCATGAAAATTGAGTTCATGTAAAAGAAAGGAAAACACATTGCAAAAATATCAAATTCAAACAGAAATAATAATTTCTGTTTTTCTGAGTAAATAATTTCTGCATCATCATAAAAAATCTGCACAATTCATATACATAGAGAATACTAAAAGATTTACTTAGAGCATTATTAATTTAAATAGCAAATATTTCACAGTAAAAAGAGTGTATACACACACAATATGCTGCAGGAATGGAAATTTTATTAACTTACCCTGTGAATGTAGTCATAAAAGAAATAATTAGGATACTGCAAATCCAGAAGCCAAAAGTTGAAATACTGAGTATTACAACCAAAAGGAGCCAAAATATTTTGGATGCCATCTGAAATACAAAATTAAACCTCTGGTGGAAAAAAAAAAACTAATTTAATTGAAATGAGAAGTAAATTATAATACAAGTAGTAATGACAATATAAATTAAACAAAAAATTTAAATATATCAATAAAGACAGAAATTTCTAATATCTCACAAATTTTGCTTTTTCTTGGTTTGAGTAATCACTAAAACATTTTAAAAAAATGCCAGCTTATGATACAATAATAAAACTTTATAACACTTTTCAGTATTGAATTACTAGATTATAGCAAAGTGTATATTTACCTAAAAAGAGTTTTTCCTTCAAGGAGGTTTTTTTTTTTTTTTTTAAAGGAAACTGGCTAGTACTCACTCTAGGTAAATCTAATTACTTATAATATAAGTAGATATACAAATAGGCAATGAAAAAAACTGGAGAAAAAGTTTCCAAATAAAAAAAAATCACTGCATAGACCTGATATAATTAAAAAAAAAAAAAAAAAAAAAAAAAAATACAACTTTCTTCATCATCATAAGAAATCTGCAGAAAAATTATAAAAATAAAAATTATAATAATTTTGCAGATATTAATTTACAAAGGAATTCGTAAGTCATTAAATCCAAAGAAAAAATACAAAATTTTGATGGTTTTTTATTAGATTACAAAGCATGATTTTATTATTTATGTCAAAAATCACGGGAAACTAACAAAAACAATTTCGTAATGACAAATGGAAATTAGCTTTTCAACCAGGTAAAAAACATACTGTATATCACAGTCTGAAATTTGCAAATAAAAAATAAGCTACGAAAATTAAGTCCACTGTCAACGAACTGTATAATCCTTTAAGTCAGTTAAATTAGGGCCTAACGCTGAAAAAATATAAACGAAACATATTCATGATTTTAACACAAAGCAACGCACTTACCACGTAATTAAAGTAAGTTTCAAAAGTCATTTTTGATCTTATTACTGCTTACACAGATAGGCTTAACATCTTGTAAACATTGCTGTTCCTCAAAATAGGCAAAAACAACTGACAACATTTTATTATGCAGAATTCTTTTCAAAGCAGAAACAGTATGCAGACCAGTGATATTACATATTTTCACGTAACTTTTCGAAGCGTACAGGTAAGTTGCACCTGTACGTAACGCATTTCCCACTGATTTTTACATTAGATGTAAACACAGACAGTTCTTAACAGACACGAAACCACCCCCCGTATATAGCGCCCTCTACTGGCACAACTTACGACTAAAAGAAACACTTACACAGGTACCGCACAAAATCATTCAGTTTTCATTCAGCTATCGTATCGTGTCAAGTAGTTTGTTGTTAGGATTGTGAACACGGAATACAAAATGTGAATACTTACTGGTTGATCGTGATGGCTTGCAAGTCAAAGTTTTTTTTTTTAGAGAACGTACAGTAAACGTTTTGGAAGAAAAATTATCTTCGTGCAAACTTGTTTTTGACATGTTAGCATCATAAGAATCATGTATATACTATAATATTGAACCAGTTAATCTGTGACTGCGAAGTAACCATGCGGATTTGGCGTGGGTGCAGCTAAAGGTGAGACACCAACTTCTTTACTGAACGTCGATTTTTCAGAATTATACCTCTAAAGCTTCCAAAGTTAATACACAAATTCATCCTTCATTAAAAATTAGCAGCAAGTAAAGTACACTTGGTAAATATAGAAACTCTCACAATTTCTTTGCATCGATATTCAAAGTTATATATATATATTAAGCTTTCAGAGTTAATATTAAACTCATATTCTCTTTATAAATAGCAATAAGTACTTTAAATACGCAAACTTGCATTTCGCTTTAAAATACATTTATGACACTAGCACTGCTGTAGTTGAACGAAGCAACTACAATCAACTGAAAAAAAAAAAAAAAAAAAAAAATAATATAGCATTCGTAACAATAAAGTTTCAAGAAAATAATAGCTTTTGAAAATTTCGAAAGTATTTTATATTGTCAGCTGAATGTGTAGTACTTGCAACTTCAGTATAAAAATGCGAGATCTCTTAAGAGGAGTACTATAAGTAATGCAATAGCTATACACACCTAAAAGTATTAAATTTAAAAGATTAAGGCACACATAAGTGAATGAGATTTCAAAATCCCAATAATGAAAAACTGGAATTATAATTATTTTGCTTATTTCATAAGAACTAGTTATACCAAGAGTTTTGATCCGTTTTCCTTTAACTGAAATAATTCTGTAAAATTACAAAATTCGTTTCCTCTGCTTAAGAAATTATTCCTTTCGATTCTTCAAAAAATATTCACCCGCTCAACAAAATCTCTGTTTGTGTAAATTATTAAACTATGAAAAGTGCTTATCTTTTAATTAAAAAAAAAAAAAAAAAAAAAAAAAAAAAAAAACCGCTTAGTCAACAAAAGTTGGAAATTAAACTTAACAAATTGCAAATTACTTTAAAATAGTTTTATAAATAACCTCTAAACGTGCATATTGCGGAAACACTCCGATGTACATCATCTAAAAAAAAACGTGAAAGAAATAAATATTAAAAAAAGGCCTTCTAAGCTTACAATTTAAAAAACTCCGAAACGGTATATCTGAAAGAAGGGAAAAAAATGCCTTCTTATCCTTATCCTTTTCAGAGAAACGAAATTTTAAGTTCGTTTCCTCCTTGAAACTAGAGTTTGAGATTCCATCTAAATATGAAAAAGCATCCATCGATTGCAGTAGAAAATAGGATGAATGCTTAATATTATTTTTAGATTCCTTCTAACTACTTGTTCGGGCTTTTCAACTTTTTTATTTTTAACCTCCTTTTCCGCTGCAGATTACCTTTTTCGAATCAATACTGTAATAGATTCTACTTTTTTTCATCAATACTATAATAAATTCTTAGTCTCTGAAGTCAGTTGGTTCATTGGTCCATTTGTGATTAAATTCAGTTAACGTTTTTAAAAATGTTCTGATATGGTTTATTCTTTTTATGCCGTATAGAACAATGAATGAAATGCTGGAATTTATAATTAAAATATTAGCGAATTATATTGGTAGAAAAATTAACTACATGGAAAAAATTCAATTTCATTATGTAATTTAAGTATGCTTCGAAATTCCTCTTCGCCTTTGTAAATAAGTTACCATTTTCCATACCCCATGTGAGAATGTCATGTAAATTCAAGTCAAATCGATATCTAAATAAGTGAAAACAAACTCTCGATGATTCCAGTAACTGATTATGACATAGACAGAGAAACACTAAGTTTTTTTGTTTCTTTCATATCTTTTCCTTTTGTGTATTTTAGAAAATGCACTAATTTTATCTTCATGGAGTAAACTTATGGCCAAGTTATCAAACTGATTGCTAGGTGTTATGTATCGTAAAATAATATCGCATAAAATTATTTTTCGTTTTTAAATGACATTCTGTTTTTAGGAAAATTATACCACTGAAAAGAATATACAACAATATCTTTTTGAGCAACATGCTTATTTTCAAATATTTATTAGGTATAAAATTTTGTTCTTTTCTGCTTATAATAATTTTAATATTACGTTAATATAAGCGATATTTTTTGCTATGGCTCTAATTTCTTTATTCACATGTTTATGTGTATAAATGTTTAAGTTCTCTTTCTCTCTTTCTCTCTATGTATCACATGTGTGAGTACCATGTTATATTCGTGTTAAGGTTCTGAATATATAAACAATACGCAAACAAAACTTTTTGTTTGAAGAAAGCAATTTTATTGTTGTTTATCATATAATTTCTAAAACTATTTAGCGGCAAGCTATTTATTCAGAAGTACAACATTATTCAAAGGTTATATTCACATAACTTCTGAATATTTTCGTACCGAAACACTGTTGAAATGCTGCTTTACTTTCAAGGTACGTTTTTCTGAATTTTGCATATTCTGCTAAAATTGAATCCTTTAATGCCAAATTTCAATTTAATGAGCAGAAAAATATTTCCTTAAGATGCCAAATCTGATTAATATGGGTAAAAATAATGTTTTATGCTTCTTTGCAATAAACATTTTAATGATAAATGCCTCGAAAGAAAATGAGGGTTAAAACCCCTTTTCTGTTGCTTTTCTGTGAAGCTTGGAGTTTACTGTCATCTTAATGCTAAGGTTCTTTGCGAATGTTCCTCTGGTATGCTAATGGAGGGGGGATTTATTAAAAAGGAAGTTACTCTGGCGAAGTATATTGCACATTTCCTCTTACCCATGCAGAATAATGCCCTTTGGGTTATAAATAAATTTTTTTTCCTCACGATAATTAGTTTAAAAGTACTCACGATTATTTTCTGCCGTTTCATTCATATCCTTATCGATTTACGTTTGTCTGCTTTGAATTTTTAACAAGAACTATCTGAATGAAATCAAACAGGAAATTTTATTTAAAGCTCTTTTTCATAAGGAAACGATATTATAAAATGGAAAAAATATTGTAGTCATTGTAGATGGTTATTATTTAGTCGATCTAACGGAAATAGATAAAAAAAAATCAATTTTAAAACTCTATAGTCGTACCGCCTGAGTGAGAAACTGCCAAGTATTTCTGTAAGAGTAATCGTATGTATAATGCGAATTTATGCGAAATAGGTTGCAAACTGTAATCACTGTGAAAAACAAATCGTTCTTTAGATATTCCAGAATCTGGTAGCGATTGAACTAACGTAATGCCATTTTTTTAATTTGTAGTCGTTATTGATATGTTTAAGAAACCCATAAAAAATGTTCTCTAAACGTAAAAATTATGTATCTCATTTAATTCAAAGAAAGTAATAGAATGACGTGTTTTAAAAACATTTAATTGAAAATACGTACTTTGAAAAGAACACTGTTTTAAGAGCTAAAATCTTAGTTATGGCTAACAGGTAACATTGTACATTAATCATTCTAAAAAAAATCGTTTGGCACACGTTATCCTATAACTAAAAATGTCCTAACAATTTTGCGCTGCTTTAAAGAAGGATTGCACTGATTTAAAGAAAGATTGCAACTTTATATTAATATCGTATGTACTGTTAAGGCGAAATTATTTTGGACATCAAACGTAAAAAATCTGTATTTATTTGATAAACAAAAAGATGAGTATGAAGAGCTGATACAATACTTTTTAATCACTAAATAATTTTAGCTCGTTTGATGAAGTTGAATTATTTTTAAAAAGTTAGTCGAATACGCATTTCACTTCCGTGGCATTTTTATTTATGATCATAAAACAATGGAAATGTTACACGGAAACTAATGTAGAAGCAGTATTCTGAGATGCGCAAGTGGTACCGAAGCGTATGTTCTTTCTTCTGTCAGGACTTCTTAAAGGCAACATGCGTGTTCATGAAATACCTGTCAGTTTGAACTACAACTTTCACTGTCTGTCCATAAATATAATTATTGTAGTTATCTGTATTCCTTAAATGCGTTCGAATAAAAAAAATGAAAGAAAAAGAAATATAGTTAGCACGACGATAAAGCCGTTGTAAAGCTATCATTTTAATGCACATATTAATAACAGACGATACAGTATATATTCAATTGATATTACTTTCACTCAAAACCTTATTATTCAGGAAATTAAAGGCATAATTATAAAGTATAGTGATACAAAAGAAATAAAATGCTTTCCACATTCAGTCAGGGAGGTTAAAAGCAATAAAGATACTTGTTTTTAAAAATTTGTTAAGTCGGACAGTTTGATAAGAAAAAGAACGTGATTCGTTATAATTATATTCTTTTCATTTCTTGTAAAAATTATGTTATATATTATACAGCATAAACGTTTATCATTTATTCACTTTTAGTCTCTTTCGTATATAAAACCTGCAGCGCCAATCATTAATTAGCATTCGTTGTTGTTTTTGCTGCCGCGTTTCATTGTCTGCAGTGAAAACTGAAAGACAGTTTCTAAAATGAAGAGTAATATGTATTTTAATATCTTTATTTATAAAATGGCTTACCAAACACAGAAAATTGTGTTTTTGCAGCTGATTCGCTTTTTATATTTAAGTATGGATGAAAATATGTCCTTTTCACAGCTTCTGAATGAGCAGTTCAAATAATAACGTGATAGTTATAGCGAATAGCAGAATCATAAAAATGTATGGGGATAATATCTGTGAAGAATCTCTTTTCATTTATGTTGCTTTATATAAAATTCTACAAATATAATATAAGGTATATTTTAATTGAAAG